TGTGTTCATATTGCTGTTTAAGTGGAAGAAGGGGACGATCATGAGCATCAACATGGGAAGAAATCAGTTTTGAAGAAAGTGAAAGCGAAGGCAAAGAAGATTAAGGACACCATTGCGAAACATGTACATCATGATGGTTCTTCTTCTTCTTATAGTGACGATGATCATGATCATAATCACGGTCACAGCAGCCGTGGTTACAATGTGAAAGATACTTCTGATGACCATGACCTGGACGAGGAATACGATGAAGACGAAATGGTCAAAGATCCAGAAATCCACGGAGCACCAAGTATATGTGATGTTCTCCGCTCTCTTCATGTTATCTGTAAATATAGGTTTATTGAATTAGTTATAATTAATTATAAATTTCTTTTCTTTCTGTGCTGTGAAGTATATGATTCTGCTGCTGTTAGCAGCTCTGGCCCGGGGCAACCGGAGGACTTAAGGCGCCCTGGAATTGCATATGAAAGGTCAAGAGTGCCCATGGATGAAGATCCATTGATGAGTAACTCTGTTCCTGTCATAGTGGATAACAACGAGAAACATAGGGTCAATTTGGGGAATACAACTGTGATGGGAGAAGGATTTCAGGCGACCCAAAATACCCCTGTATTTATTTCCCACCATTCCAGAGAGATTGTTGATCCGACTAACACCTTTGTTCCAGGGCAAGTGGAATATCCAGGGCAGCCAAAAGTCAAATTGGAGACACCAAGCGGATTGGAGGAAGATCCTGCTGCTTCGAAGGACAATCCTGATGCTTTTTCCACCACAAATTATCAGACCAAAGTCTTTGATCCAACCGGAGAGGGTAACATTTTGGTTTTTATCTTTATAGTCCTTGAAATTGCAGCTGTCGTATTTGAGGTATTCACTTGTGAGAGCAATAAGTCTTGTAATGGTAATGAATTTAAAACAAAAATATATGTAAGACCAATGAATTTAGTAGATCAGTCTCTTGGTCCAACTCAATCAAGCTTTTGTTGGTGTACATTGCTGTGTTAATGATAGTTTTTTACCCTTTTTTTTTTGGGTGTGCGTTGACATGTAACAGGAGAAGAAGTAACAGGAATTACCCCAATTCTCCATTCCCTTGATAAAATGAAAATCTACGATGAGCAGGATACTGGAAGAGAACAAAACTTACCTCAGGGAACTCATACTTGTTCATCAAACTTACCTCTTTCCACGGGAAGCCATGATCAATTCACCCCGAAGCCAACTCCTCCAAACAGTGCCAACTTCCCGGAAAATCCAAAACCAGTCTCTGAAATTCCAAACACAACAAAACTAGATGAGGGCACTTATGGGAAATCATCGTACCAGAGTGGCAGCCTCACTGAGAAAATTTCCTCTGCTACCTCTGCCATTGCGGATAAAGCAGTATCTGCTAAAAAAGCTGTAGCTTCAAAGATTGGATATGGAGAGAACAAGAACTCTAGAAATGAATTGTGTGCAGGTGGAGAGGAAACCCACCAGAGGTCACCAAACCAAAGCAGCTATACAGAGAATATCTCCTCTGCTACCTCTGCAATTGCAGACAAAGCAGCGTCAGCTAAAAACATTGTAGCTGCAACTGTAACAGAGAAACTAACGCCGGCTTACAAGAAGGTTGCGGGTGCAGGAACTGCAGTTATGTCAAAAATGCCAGGGTCTAATTCTGCTACTACTGCCCATCAACATGAAACAGGGCCTATAATGCAGGACAAGGGAGTTTCCGTTAAGGACTATTTGGCAGAGAAATTGAGGCCCGGTGAGGAAGATAAGGCGCTTTCAGAGGCCATTTCTGGTGCTTTACATGTGAGAAAGGAGAAAGGGGATGGGGAGAGTAGGCCGGTGGTGAAGGTGACAGAGTCAAAGGAGGTGGAGAAGCGGTTGGGGGGTTTTAACAAGAAGGATGAGGAAAAGGTTCGTTCGGGAATAGCTAATAGTCCTGGAACTGGTGTGGTGGATAAGATAAAAGGCGCTGTAACTTCCTGGTTTAGTAACGAAGAGTCTCAGAGAATTCAGCAAGCAAATGCTGGTCCAGGTAAAGGTCTATGTAAAATATGGTTGTAGTGCAGGCTCTTGTTTTGCATTTTATTTTGTTTTTTCTTCATCTGTATTTTTTGTGCTTTTTCATGAATTAGGGAATGAAGAAGTTTCCAGTTATGGTAGGGAAGACGCAGGACGTAGCAGCAACCCGGTCGGGGAGAGGAGACTTCAGGAGTCATGTAACTGAAGGGCAAATTGATTATTTGGGGACTACTTCAAATGTTGTTCCGTTAGATTTATTTCTGTTTCAGTTTTTTTTTTTTTTTTTTCCCTTTTATTCATTATTTGTATTATGTTTTTTGAAACTTGAAAGTGGATGTGTAGGTGTGTGGCTTCTATATGTAAAAGACATGTTTACTTGAATAAGACCTTGTTTGCTGTTGCTTAACTTTTGATAAAAAGTCCTTTTTGTGAGAATATGTTGTAAAAATTCTATTTGTTAAACGTATTTGATAAAATGTTTTATATATATTCTTTTAAAGTCTAAGGCTATTTGGTAACTTTTAAAAAAAAAAAAACCTTTTAATCTAATATGATATTGAAATAACTAAAAAATATATTTTATTTAAAAAAAACACTTTTTTTCAAATTTATAAAATTTCAATTTCTTATTTTAAAGTTGATAATTATATATGAATTTTTTAAAGTTAATACAAAAATTAACCTAGGTGCAATACATCAATTAATTCTAACTTCTACAATGTGGTATATCTATTGTACAATAATTCAACAAGAAGTTGCTCTCTCCTAAAAATTCTCTCGGTTTTTTTTTTTTTTAATCGGCAAAAGAATATTCTCATGTTTCTTTCATTCCAAATGTAGTATATGGCAGTAGCAAATCAAGGCTTGAGCTTCCTTTTTACTTGATTTTGTCCTCTTCATCCATCTCCATTTTCCCAATCTTATATAAACTAATGAATAATTTTTACTCAGCACAGCACAACATACCAGACATGTAAAAGGGCAAGCAAAGAACCATTGTTGTCAAGTTTCCTCTTCTTGCCATAAGAAAACAGAAGCTCTATCCATCAAAATGGATCTTCTTGCCAATAAGCACTTTGTTTTCATTCTCCCTTCAGTTTCCCCTAAAAACCTAACCAAAGAATGAAGCAATGTCCAAGGTAAATAATAGGACATCACAAAAAAGGATGCCGGTAAACAAATTTTCCTTTCAAAAATCTTTTTTTTTTTTTGGTCTAACTTTCTTGAAGGCCGAAGAGTTATATTACAATTATCTTAATAAAACAATCATAAGCCAAAAACTTAGATGCCAAAAAAATAAAAGGGAAACTAGATGGATTATGGTAAATAAAAGTTAATGCTATGAAATACATCATGTCGCTATCTTAGTATAGCATTTGGCAAAGGACAATGATTAGTACACCAATTTTCAAATTTGAATTCAAGGTAATAAAATTTTTAAAAGTAAATTTTAATAATTGAACTGGTAAATGTTATTAGGTGTTTTTTTTTTTTGGTTTCCCGCCCGGTATCCGGGGCTTCGCCCCGACTATTTCGGACTCGACCAACTGTGGCGCACCAGAATGGTGGGTGAGTCTCCCAACAAAGACTGCTACGTACACAAGGTTTCGAACTCGAAACCTTACTTAAGCTGGAACAAGCTGCTTATCACTTGATCCAACCCCTCATTGGTAAATTTTATTAGGTGTGTTAAACGAGAGGATGTACCAATCATTTTTCTTTGCAAAAAATGCTATGGTTGGATTTCTTTATCCATATTTGTGCAAGATAATTTATAAAGAAATTTCAAAGGCCAATGGGTATAACTCAATTAT